TTAGGGTGCAGTTATCGGGATCCGGAAGTTTCGCCCCCCACATTTCGCCCCGCACATTTCGCCCCCCACATTTCGCCCCTGCACATTTAGCCCCTGCACATTTCGCCCCAAGACGTTTCGCCCCCAACACATTTCGCCCCCACACATTTCGCCCCCACATTTCAAAAATGAATACATTTTTTCAATGTAAATGGATGTAATTGTATATTTGAACTTAGTTTTAGTTCTAATTAACTTTTTCAAATAAAATTTTTATATGTTGTCAAATTTAAAGGTAATTTACCTATGAATATATTTTTTGACAAATCTCGTATACTACTGGAAAAAATTGATATCTGATAATTGTATTTTAGAGTTTTAACATGGTTCCAACTTACTGAGACGTACTGTATAATTAAATACATTTCGCCTCCAGCCTGAAATAATGATACAAAAAAGGTTTTAAATAAAAAGTGTATATTTTATTATATATAATATATTAAAAAACTGAATTAAAATGTATAATTGAGAGCTATTCCTCTTAAATAATCTAAACGATCTTTTTCTTCAAATTGTGTGGTAAGCCGTTGTAATCTTGTCCCAATTGCTGCGTATGTTTTATTTTTAGCTGTAGTCGGCTTCCCCGCTCGTATCTGGGACATTGAATAGTTTACAATTGCTTGCTCTTTTTTTAAGATATTTATAAATTTGTAAATATTGGGATGTAAGCTTCCACAAGAAGCTACAAATCCGCGATGCCAGCCCTCTACATGATTGTTGGTTCTGTGACCATTTTGAAGACTTCTGTCGTAAACATTCCACAACGGAATTGGAAAAGACGGTGTTCGCCTTTCTTGTTTGCGGTTTCGTCGTCCGATGTAATTGTCTTCAAAATAGTCGGCAATCGGAAGAGCTTCTTCAGGAAAACCCGCTTCAACCAAATGGTCAAAAGTAGCTTCGACTTCGCCTGGTGGTACAAACGCTAAAGCTGGGAGCATTCTTAGCCACATTGCAAACTCGTGATTTTCCTGATACTGTACCTGCAAAATATTAAATAACTTAGTTTTTTATCTAATTTACGTGGCAAAAAATCTTTATATAACAAGTATGTAAAACTATCCTTTTCACGGAGTTTTCGCATTCGCAAATGGCTCTTGCAAGAAAATTCCCATTCGGAAAAAAATGGTACTTTACATACAATAACAATAAAAATTTAAATCAAAAAAGTACCTGTAAGCCTTCGCTTTGAATTCGTCTCCAGATACTTTGAGTGAAGTGGAAAAAACATGCTGTCACGTTCACCCCAGGAAACTCCTCTTTGAAGGCATGTATTGATGCTAATTCAAAATCAGACATGATAGTCCTAGGTTGTAAGCCGGGCTGAAGTTGCTTCAATTTTTGCAGTAGTCGTAAATAGGTTTGTTTAGATTTGTTTGTAAGCAAAGCATATACAGCTGGCAAAACCCTTTCGTTGACTTTCGCATGTATGGTGTACAATTGGCTGAAAATAGTTGGAGCTGTACTAAAAGTACCATCAACGTACCAATCCTTGGAAATTAGAAGATTCGAGAGATTTTCTCTTGTTGCAAACAGAAGCATCCTATTAGGCAGAAACTGATCTTCAGAGTCGAACAGCAAAAATGGTTGCGAAACACCATCTACAATTATTTGTTTGTACTCCTAAAAGTAAATATCTGTCAGCATTTTGTAAAACTTGTTCATAAAAATTTCTAAAAAGTCACATTTATAAGTTATTTTAAACTTACCTCTGGAATAACCATTTCCTGTGCATGTTGGGGAAGGAGTGGAATTCCAGTAATTTTCCGGTTCATTCGAATGCTTCTTTTAATGCTGTCTTTTCTAGGTAATGCTGCACTAACGTTGCTGTGTACACCTGAGAGAGCAGTAGCCAAAATTTGTTGTGGGGACTCCTGTGTGGTTTTTGCTGTTTCTTTTATCGATTGTAAAACTAGTAAAGCTTCACTTCTAGTTGCCTCTGCTGGATGAAGATGTTCTTGGACAATTTTTACAACAACAGGAGAATCCCTTTTTGTCCAAACACGCCCTTTGCAGACGCTTCTTTTTTCACACACCCATATGCTATTTTCGCCATCCGAACTTTTTTTAGAAAATAAATAGACGTGATTCTTATGAACCAGTTTATCTTTTCCACGGTTTGATTTAACGAAAGACATAATAATTATATAATATATATCAACAATAAATCACTTTAGTTGTTCAAATGAAACTGAAGGTTTGTAGATATTGGGAATATTTATATTATAATTGTTGAGGGCAGGTAGGTTATAATTATAATCCTTTTTGATTTGATGGTTTTCAATAATGTATAAACACTTAATAAATATTTGATTGGACCATTAAAGAAAATTATCTAATTATAATCCTTTTTGATTTGATGGTTTTCAATAATGTATAAACACTTAATAAATATTTGATTGGACCATTAAAGAAAATTATCTAATTATAATCCTTTTTGATTTGATGGTTTTCAATAATGTATAAACACTTAATAAATATTTGATTGGACCATTAAAATTATTACACTTAATAAATGTATACTACTGGAAAAAATTGTTATCTGATGATTGTATTTTAGATTTTAGAACATGTATAACTTTTTAGGAAGAATACGGTTTTTGGCTTTTTCCTAAAATTAATAATAAAAAACTTTGGTATTGGTACGGTATTTGTGATAGAAACAAATAATTATTATGACCGTATATAAATATTATATTGGGGGCAAAATGTGTGGGGGCGAAATGTGTTGGGGGCGAAATGTCTTGGGGCGAAATGTGCAGGGGCTAAATGTGCAGGGGCGAAATGTGGGGGGCGAAATGTGTGGGGCGAAATGTGGGGGGCGAATGTTCCGCAAATCGCAGTTATCCCGTGAAATGAAATTTTGGTGACAGTACTAACAATTTTCTAGTGATGAGCATTCTTATTTTTCGAGTTAAGTTTTCTTTTGTTCTCGTACCAAATAGGGAAAAGTGGAAGTATATATTTTGTGATTTTGAATAATGATAAAATTTAAAAGTTTCGGGTTTAAAAAAAGAAATATGAAATGCAAAAATCAATTTTGAATCAGATATTGTAACTTAAGTTCATAGAAATTGGTAATAATTTTAAATATTTTTTTTTATTTAGGAATTTGATTTTCATCGTATATTTTACGTACGTGATTTATCATATCTATTATCTCTGAACTAAAACTATTGAGCTATGCAAAGAGTTAAGTTTAGAGAATACAATAGCGTTTTCTAAATTATCGATAAATGTTATAGTTGCTTGACAATCTAAATTAAGTTCGGATAAAACACCTTGAATGCTTAAATAACTTTCGAGAGTTTCTATTTTATTGCAAGTTGATGCTGAAAAATTTTCTAAATCATTATTAAACTTTCCTTGAGTTTTACTGGTTTTACTGGATTTATTGGTATCCTGTAATAATTGTTTTTATTGCTTTTTGGTTGTCGTGAAATACTTTTGTGATAAGTCCTTATTGGTTTTAATTAAGACATTTTTATTTTTGATTAATTAAGGAGCTTTAAATTTAGGGAGTTTTTATCTGTTGATTTAGTTTTAACGTAAACTATTTTTGTTTTGAATTTTTGTTTGACAATTACTTAAATTTTATTCTCTTCCTGTTACATTTATATATTCCTGGTTTTTTCATTTTGGTTTTAATTTTATTAGTCGCCGTGCAAGTATTACGTAAGTCTTTGTTTGGCTTATTTTGGATGACATGGGGGGTAGAGGAGTCTAGATGATGATTACATCATCGGTAGGTATTTACTTTTTTACACGAATGGCAACCCTCACATTGTCTATGCTTGAAAACGAAACGCATTTTCGGGGATTCCCGCAAATAATGCATACGTTTAGGCACTCGCTTTAGAACCGAGTAGGGGAATTACCGCGCGCTATTCACTTGTCTAAATTTCCTCTGTCAGTGTATTGTTTCGTTTGGATACTATAGCGAGTAGACGTATTGTAAGCATAGCAAAGCAAGTTAACATTTGTGTTACAGTTGATTCCATTCCAAAGTTTAATGTTTAAATAAGATGTCGTTTAAATAGACAAATCCAAGTTATACCAAAAATTGTTTGAAAGTTTTAAAAAATCTCATACGAGTACGAAAGTACAAAATGTACAAAAGTTAGTTAACGAAGTGTGGCGAAATTATAAATTACAAGCAAAGTCCGACAAGGAAATAGATATTATTGTATCTAAGAGATTTCAAGAAGAATTGCATTTTTTCCAAGGTGAGTGACGAAATCATTATGAGTACTAGAAATATTAGAAATCACCAAAAAGTTTCTCTTTACATTTTGTAACAATAATTTAGACGTTTTATTATTAGAAAATATTATGTCCTATCTCAAAGTATAGAGGTAATATTCATTATATAGATTTATTTCTTAAGATTAACTCCGTTAATTGGTCACAAAATACAGGGTGTTAGTTTTCTGTATGTGATGGGTTCGATTCCAGGCTTTAAAGATTATTTAAAGCCATAGGGCTTTAAATAATCTTAAAATGCAGTTTTGTATTGCATACTTTGTATTTATGTAGCTTAATAGGAGAATCTTTAGCAGAACCCATAGAAAGTTTTTCTTTTTAGGCAACGACTACCTGTAAACCTGCAGAAAAAACACAAATTATACAGCCAGCTTCAAATATTAAAAAACAGGAAAAAGATAAAATAAAACCCGGTAATGAATCACAACAGCAATGCGAAAATAATGATTATGCAGATAAACAGAGAGCAAACCCTTCTCAGGAAGCTATAAAAAATAAGATTGCTCTACTCGAAAAAAATATGAATGCTTTGTATTCTGCCAGAGATACTATGCCAAGCCGTGCTGAAGTTGATAAACAGATCATTAAGTTGCGCGAGGAAATAAAAACAGCAAAACAGTCTTTAAACAGGAAGATTCAAAACGCAGTTATCCAGAAGAAACACAGGGATGGTATGAAAAGATAGTTAAAAGATATTTGTCATGAAAATTCAGATATGCAAAAGACAATCTCTGAGGGATTCAGTGGGACGTCCTAATCTTATAAGCAATCAACCATCACTGTTGAAAACAATTGCAGATATAGCTTTATTTGGGAGTGCAGTAGATGAAAGAAGACGAACGGAATTTATTCGCAGCGTAAAAACTCCTGTTGAACTCACACAAGAATTACGTAAAATAGGATTTGACATTATTCGGAGTGGGACATATCTTCGTTTGGTTCGCAGAAAATTTAATTCTGCAGAGGGAGGAAGACATGTATTGACAGTCCCTGTTAAGCTCATTCGGGCTCAAACTGATCACCACAAGAGCCACTTAGATAGCAAGTTCGCTGAAACATCAATCCATTATTTAGAGAACATAGCATCCAAACTTGAACCAGAACAAGTATTTTTTATATCTCAAGATGATAAAGCTCGAGTCCCTATTAGCGTAACTACAGCAAACAAGCATGCACCTCTTCTAATGCACATGGAATATAGAATCAAATTGCCTGACCACGACTGGGTAATCGCTGAGCGTCATAAATTAATACCATCTGTTTATGCTGTTATCAAAATCACTTCCAGTATGCTAGGACAACCACAAGCCGTTGGATATTCTGGACCAACATACATCGCTATTCGAAGTGAAAAGCATAGTTTATCTACTGCTAATACTCATCATGCTCAGGATTTCGAGACGCTTCTCGAACTTGAAGAGTTTCGACCATTAGCTAAAATTGACCATGGACTAGTAAAACCAGTGGTAATCATGACGGTTGATGGAGGGCCAGATGAAATTCCGCGTTATCAAAAAGTCATAGGATTTGCTATACAACACTTTAAGCGACATGATCTCGATGCATTGTTTTTAGCTACCAATGTTTCTGAAAGAAGTGCGTATAACATAGTAGAGCGCAGAATGGCTCCTCTTAGTTGGGAACTGGCTAGTTTAATATTGCCTCATGATCATTTTGGGTCTCATTTGGATGAACGTGGCGTAACACTTGATGAACATTTAGAAAGATCTAATTTCGAATTTGCAGGAAATGTATTAGCTAAAATATGAAGTTCAATGGAAATTGATGGCTATAATGTTACTGCAAAATATGTTGGGGCAGGTGAACAAGATCTTCCTGATTTTCCAGATAATAAATTGTAAAATATAGAAATACAGAATGCTGTCATCCAAGAAGTGGCCTATTCAGATTACTAGACAACAGGTTTCTTCCACCACCTGTAAAAGTAAAACAAATAGTTGATGACTGGGTTTTGGATGAAGGAGGGCAATTTCATGATCTTCCAGTCAATTTAGCTTTACGTTTAAGTGCTTTACTCAAAGATTTCCTGCAAATGCCCTTTGATTATTTTTGTTCGACGGTAAAATTGATGCTATCAAATCGAACATGCAAAACGTGTGGTCTTTATCATGCTTTCGTCAAATCACTAAATCGTCACATCGAGAAGATGCATAAAAAAGTAAACACGCACACTGATAGGAAAGTTAGACCTGTAAGACGCTGCTCGTCATGCTAATGAACTGATGTGCATTATTCAAAATTTAGAGCACCATGATGTTGAATATCTCGATGAGAATGACGTAGATATTCCAAAATCGGATGAAAGTGAGCAGACTCACAACACTGAGCAGCAATCCAATGTCTTTGAAAACTTAGAATCATAGATCCGGGTTTCAAGGACTGAAGACTATTAATTTGAATTTAATATGTGTACCAAAAATTTAAAATAATTTTGTTATGTTCGTAAGATTATAATATTTTTGTCCCTTACTCTATGTTGAATACTGTATCAGTAAAATCTAATCTCTATCCTAAATCTATTTTTTATTTTTAAAAGTATACTTATAACATTATAATTATAATATAAAAAAGTATATTTATAATTGAAAAATGTTTACGTAAGCATGGGGGAGGGGGTAAGAGCATTGCTTACTTTTGCTGACAAGGGGGATGGGGGGGTAAATAATTGTAATAAATCTGCTAACGTAATATTTGAACGGCCCCTTATTTTGTAATGAAAATTTGTTCTTTTCTTTTCTCTTGCATTTATATGTGGTATTTATTCTAGTTTTAATATTTTTATTAGATAATGTAAATTCTTTTTTAACATACGTATTTATTTTAGGAATCCTTTTATGGTTCAGCATAGCATTTACTTTGTATAGTTAATCTATATCAAATATTTGTTTTTTTTTAATTTTGTGTTATCGGCATCGACTACTAAGGCCATTAGCCTCGTGTTCTGTGTACCTAGGCTTTGTAACTGTTTCCCAGCGCCACTTTGGGAACAGCATGGTTAATTAGAACCAACAGTGAATGGTCGAGTGGGGAATCATACCAAGGCATCAGAATTAATTTTAAATTATTAAATTAAATAAAAAAACTCCTGGCCAACGGTGGGATTAGAACCTGGGACCCTTGGATCTACAGGCAGAGACTCTACCACTGAGCCACCTACCCCTATGAGTATTTGAATTTTATCTATAATATTTATTTTTTGATCTAATTTAGGAAAATAATCAATTAACGCTTCATGAACTATTTTGCCGATATCCAAAAATACGATTTCTGAAGTATTAAGTTGATCTATTTTATATGGAGATATTGCATCGTCTACTAAATTATTTTTATCTAAATTATTGTTGATTTTTTTGTGAATAATTATTAATATTTTCAGTTTCAAAAAGTTTATGTTTGTTTCAAAACAAATATTTCAATAGATTTATTTTAAAAATTGTTAAATTCCGATATATTTTTATTCAGTTTAGAAGAAATAGTTCCTAAATTATTTTCTTCAGTTTCATATTTTTTTATACCTTCACAACAAGAAACTATTGTTCCTTTGACTGGACTATATTTAAATGGAATTTTAAAATCATCACCTATTAACTTTTGTTGAGTCAAGTTTATAATTAAGTTCAAGTTTATCATATCTTTTAAACCTAATACACCATCAAATGTATGAAAGTTGTAAAGAATAAAGTCTATGTATTTATCTTTAGAATTAAACTCAGCAAACGCTGGCACTAAAGCTTGATAATTAATCTGTTGACTTCCCATACTTGTGGATAAGATAAATTATGTTATAAGTGATAAATTGTTTGCATAAAATATTTCTTTGCTACTGAAGGTTTTATTATTGACCTTAAACTTCCTGTATCAATTAACACTTTTAGTTTGGGTTCGCGTATTTTGATTTGAGGAAATAAATTGTTTGAAATATTGTACAATTCTACTATCTTTTTGTTTTATAAGGCCGGTATCTGAAAATTTTGTTCATTATCAAATTTATCATTTTGACTTTGATGATGATTTAAATTGTCGCAATTATTATGATACAAATCTGTATTAATTTTAGAGTTAGAATTACTATATTGGTTTGCATGTAACTCTTCAAAAAGAAAACTTGGTTTTGAATTTAGAATTTGGAAAAAATTTATTATTATAATTAAATGATCTTCTTGTTTGTAAACTGGGATTTCGCGATGTTGTTGACATCGGCACTGGTTTTGGTAAATGATTCTCAGAAATCTGATTTGGACGAAAGACATTTTTTTGCGGGCCAAATACCTGGCGGTTTGTAAAGTATTTTTTATTTTGTGGAATGGGTTTTACATTAATTGGCTGAGTAGGCAAATTTTGCCTGTTTGTTGGATACCTGTATTTAATTGTTGATTATTTGGGACAAAATTTTAGAATCTATTTTGATTATAATTGTGATTTTGATTAAAATTTGTATTATTTTTTTGGAAAAAAGCCATAGCATCCTCTAAATAGTCTGGTGTTTTAAGGTGCATGTCATTTTTTTGGGTTTCACCCCAGAATAAGTAATAGTACAGTAGCGACAGTTTACTGTTTATGAGAGTTCCATACTTTTCTGCGCATATCCGAAAATAAGCGGCAAATACGTCAAACTGGCATATGTAAATTATCGTTAATTGTTTTGATTATCTGATTGATTCTAATGCACATTTGAATACATTTTTATTATATTAAGACTTAGTTTTCATTTTTTATTTATTGTGTGATATTTTATTAAAACAGACAAGATATTTTGAAGTTACGTTTTTCAGTGTAGAAATAAGCGGCAGAAACGTCAACTGTCAATAAAAATCTGACCACTCCGACATCAAAGGAGCCGACTCAAGCTGTCGCTACTGTATTATTAACACATACTTTGATTTTCTTTTACTATACGGAGAATGGTCGCACTGCGCAGCTGTCTGAGTGCCTTTTAAAAGGAGATAGAAAACTCCGCCATTTTGAACCCTTATTACGTGTTGCCTACATCTTGGCGCAATATTTTTAATAGGTGCGTTTTAATCATCCGCTTCTGCTTCGGAATTGTCGGTTTTCTTGTTTTAATCTGACAGGTTAGAACGACTGAATCGACAATTCCGGAAGCAGAAGAGGATGATTAAAACGCACCTGATATTTTGCTTGCTGCTGTCAGTGTCAGTGAATATTATTTTTGGAGCCACAGTTTATTGCCAAAGAATCAGTTAGCTCACTCGGATCAGTTGAAATTTCCAAAATAACATCCACTCCAGGAATACAAATTCAGGATACGCAGAAGACTGCTGTTTTATTACAGGCGGTTGTCATATATTGTATTATCTGAGTTGCGCAGTGTATAAACTGGAACATTGAGATAAAAAGTGCCGACGCAAAGTGAGCGATCTCATTCTTTAGCTATAAACTGTGTTATAGGGTTCAAAATGGCGGCGCCTTATGTTGGGCGTGTCGGACCTCTCTGTTGCCCCGTATAGTAATCAAAGTATGTGATTATTAATTATACTGGGGTTTCACTACAATCAGCTTTAAAAGTATTTAAGGCTGTTTTATTATAATGGTTAGTTTGACAAATTTAATCATTTTGATCAATGTAAAGATTACTGCTTATTCTCTGTACTACACTGCTTTTAATTAATTGTAATTTACGGCCAAAAACAATAAGGTGTTCACCTTTAAGAGGTTTACTCCTTGTTCGTTCTTGGACGAGACAATCAAGATCACGTCGATCTGCAAAAGCTTGTACCAAGTCATTCTTTAATTTTGGCCAAGTATCAATTTCTACTTAGTTGCCTACCATAAATTTTTTGTACACATTCAAATGCGTGTATGTTTAATTCTCCATCATTATAAATCCTATAAGAATCAATAAAATTCTCACATCTAGTAATAAACTTATTGAAAGGATCACTCTCATCATTAAAAGGTTTAATTAGATTTGGAAAGGTCCCAATTGATTTGGACCCGTTGAGGAATAGAATTAGTAGGTGTTGGCGTCATATTACTTATATCTGAATCGTTTTCACTAATTGAAATATTACTAAAAGCTTCGACTTAAGTATCAAAATCGTTAATATGCAAACTTAAATTATCTTTCCGAAACCTATGAATAGGGAAAAGGTGAAAACGGGAAAATTTGGCACTTTGCAGACGAAACTGGCTTCCAAAATCCTATTTTCCGATTTTTCGCTTACTTTGGGCTGCCCACTGAAGGACTGTTTAGTTGGTTTTCGAAAGATGGGAACGGATGATTGGAATTTACCCTTAAAACGTTAAAACCATGAAAATCTGCACCATAGTGACTAAAAGTCCAAGTCTATCACTCGAAGAAAACAATTTTCTTAAGTTTTCACAGTATTCACAGCTCGCATGAATCCTACTTACTGTGCCAATTTTATTTGTCTTTATGAAAAATTAATTTTTAAAAAATTTAAGAAGTACTTTTAATACGTCTTTATTAAACAAAGTCAAGCTAAAGAATGAATATATTTTACTTTTAATACATATCTATTGTTTATATCTAGGAAAATTTATGAAAATATGATATGATAAAGTTATTTACAGTAAGACATTTTCTAGAACCAAATATAAATTTGTGCTTTTGAAACAAAAATATAAGATTGACAATTCATGTAAAAAAATTCTAGACTTTAAATCACGAAATAATAATTGTAAAAATCAATTTCTCAAAAATGGAACAATTTTAAAAAGTGTAATATATTATTCTGAATTCTACATCCACACGACGGAAAAATTA